TTTATGAAAAAAGAAAATAAATATATTTCTATTTTTACCTTGCCCACATCCAAAAGCCATGTCTTTCCAATTGCTAAGACATATTGGGCAAACCTGTTTAAAACAAGAACTATACCTAATTACTAAAAGAACCCAATAAATCTTTCAATTTTTACAAAATAAGCCCCTCGGCTTTGCATCGACTCCACAAATGCCCCATAAATAATGTCAGTTCAGCAATCAGTCTATATTTCACTCATTGAGTACATAAAACAAAAGGCATTGATTTGATCTTATGTTTTTGGAAGAAAATGAACCTGACCACTCTCTCTAGATAAATGAGCTTTTTGTTTTAGTAGTAAGTGAGATAAATCATGAACTATGAAACAGAGAAGCTAGTTTTATAAATTAAAATAAAATGGAACCAAAAAGAGTTTGACTAAAAACTACAAACTACAAAATCATGGCATGCTACAAGTCAATGTGGTAGGTCTACTTACATATTTTCAATAGATCTTTATCTGCACAAGGACTTTGTGGACCAAGCTTGAACTTGCTCGATAAGAGCTCGAGCTTGACCTCGGCAAATCATTAAAAAAATAAGCCAAACAAAATCATCGTAGCAACTCCCAATTACTTCCAAGTAATATTTATTCCAAAAGTGAATAAAAAAAATACAGCAATTGCAGCCTTGTTTTGGTGTATCCTTATTTCCTTCAAACACAACACATTAATCAAAACTTCACTCTTGTTTAATTCTTCACATTTATAAACAACAAATCTTTCCAAAGAGCGTTTGCAAGAACCACAAATCATTGTTTTCTCAAAAGAGGTTTGTTATGATAGTGGCAATGTACTTTGATAATTGATAAGATGTAATACAATCTTCACTGAAGTATATCCAACTATGATAAGCAATTTTGATCAAGTGGTTTATTTTGACATAGAAAAAAACAATAATTCTAAGCACAAAACTAAAAATCACCGGTTCACAGTTCAATTTTTATGTATCAAAGTTCTAATTCGTAAAATTTCAATGATTTTTAAATTTAAAAATGGATGTAAAAACTTGTTTCATCATGGTGAGATGCTGAAGATTGGTCTCATTTGCACATTTGAACGCCATACTAATAATTTTAATCACGTTGACAAGGTATACAATTTGGCATGTCCGGACATGCAACTATTAAAAGAAAGTATTTTCATTTGTACGTAAAATAACGTGTCACCTACATTAATATGCATTGCCAAATACTATAATAAGCATCAATATCAATACCATAAAATCATCTAACCATTCTTTATGCAATTCGTACTATCCAAACCAAATAACAAGAACTCATTTCATTAATCAAATTACCCGCACCAGTTAACAATTTCATATTCACTAAAACTAAATTTCATAAACAAGGTCTGTACCATTGAATTCTAGCAAAACATAAACATCTCAAGACAACGATCAACATAACACTAAAACTAAATTTCATAAACAAGGTCTGTACCATTGAATTCTAGCAAAACATAAACATCTCAAGACAACAATCAACATAACACCAAACTGCTTCAAGCCCTTTCAAGCGACACCCATAAAACCTATATAAAACATGTGAAATATGCATAAACAATAGCCTCGTGTAAACATTTATATATAAAGAAATCAAGAATCAAGAAACATAAATAGCGATATTTGCGTTTAAGTTCAGGTGCAACTTGCAACTGACATAACATAAAACACTATGCAATATAGCCCTATGAAGCACACAAAATAATCAACCTAGAAAACAATTAACAAAATACCAAAATATTACATAACTAAGTTAATGAGATAATTAATTCAAGAATTAGAGCACATTAACAAACTAAAATAGAAGTTACACGTGATTACAACATGACGGAACTATTTACAACTAGCAAGCTATGACTTGTTAATTGAACAATTGGGATCTTTAAGGCTTGAGTATTTTTATTAATATATTGTGTTCAAGCTCAGATTAGTCATTTATTTGACCACAAGCTGTTTGTTATGCTCAAATTTGCTGGCCGAGAATGTTTTCAGGACAGAGTTGTCTCGACTGGTAAAGGGGTTGAGGAAGCAAATAGTGTTAGAGAGAAGCATTGTAGAAGAAGAGAGGAAATAGCTTGTAGAGAAGAAAAGACGGAAGATTTATTGAGAGAGGGGAAAGGAAAAGAGCATACGAATAGGGAAGAGAGAAAGAAAGAAAATTTGAAAATGAAGCTGAAGGTCAAAGAGGATGTGTTTTCGGGAGTTTTCTCGAGCATATGTTTGGTCCGGATGTTAAAATAGTTCATCAGAATGTTTTGATGAAGAATGGTATGGGAAAGGAATTCGAGTCTGATATTAGGGAGAAATCTAAAATAAAGCTTAATGATATATCGATATGGGTGGTAAAGATGGAGTCGAGTAATAAATCATGAGATGGATTTATCGATAGCTCGTGAAAGCAAAGACAAAAAGATTTCTAGTAAAAGCAAGTACAAACTGGTAAGCTTAATATCAGGAGATGATTCCAGAAATGAGTCAAATGATTTCATTATCAGTCTGGTGCAATATCCATTTTAAAGCAGAAGCACCAATGCAACATTTGTCTTATTGTGTTGTCTATTGAGACACAGGCTGGGAGTGCCACTAATGATAAGAGTCCAATTTGGCCAATAAATTACATATTATAGACGAGAGTTGGGACTGTCTGTTCGGAGTTAGCCTGTGGCGCTTGTGTCAAGGACGGAATAACGTTATTTTTAATGGTACTAACCCATTGTTGGATGGTAAATTACATGAAGTTCGAAATTACGTTGACATTATTCAACAAGCGAGCTCCAGTCTACTACATCTCGGGCATAGTGGTATACAACGTCTAGATCGAATGATCTGTTGGGAGTCTCCGATGGAGGGATGGATAAAATGCAACTCCGACGATGCTTTTAACATTTCCACAGGCATGGCGAGTGCGGGGGGCCTTTTGCGAGACCATCATGGATGATTTGTCGGGGGCTTCGTCATGAACATCGGATTTAGCTCCATTATGGGAGCAGAGATATGGGGGTTGCTGCAAGCTTTGATGTTAGCGTGGGACTTGGGGTTCCGACGAGTTCTGGCCGATGTCGATACCAAGGCGACAGTTGATTTGGTGAATGGTCAGGCTGATGAGGATGGAATCCACAGTAGCCTCGTTCGGGCTGTGGAGGAATTGAGGAGTCGAGATTGGACGGTGGTAATACGACATGTTTACCGAGAATTGAATTTCTCAGCGGATTATTTACCTTCTCTAGCGTCTACTAATCCTGGAGGTCTACAACGTCTCGAATTCCCGCTAGCTGGGTTGAAACCATGGCTAGAGCATGATTTTGTCGGAGTAGCATACTTATCCCTCCCTCTCTTGTATCAAAAAAAGAAAAAAAAAGTCTCCACTCAATCTAGGAGTGCTTGTTAAAATATCCTTAAATATAAAACATACAAGTTAATTCCTATAAGTATGATGAAAAAATATTTATTTGCCATCCATTTATTATTGGAATGAGAGTATGATGAAAAAATATTTATTTGCCATCCATTTATTATTGGAATGAGGGAAGCATTTCAATGACCGAAATTGGAGAGTCCATGAAGCAAACAAATTTAAATGTTAAAAAGAATATCTGGAATTTTATGATTAGAAACTAATCAACATATTATTATGTGACAGTATCTTTGCTATGATGTTAATAAAACACTAATTTATAATCCACCTGCTTTTAGCTCTTCTCTACACCATTTTTTCAAAAGAAATTGTGCCTCATCGTTACAAACTATTAAAGTGATGATTTACATCACTTATTAAACATAATAAAAATCATCACTTATTAAACATAAAAATTAAAAAGAACTTCCCTGGAACTACCCACCTTAATTATGGAATGGAACAATCCATAGGTCCGTAAATCCCCTGTGTTTACTCAGATAAAAGATACATGTACATGAGTTATGTCCTAATTTTCCAATAGGACTGAAGCCTAATATCTATTTCTTATAAGAACAATTGAAAAGTAAGAACATATCACAAAAACTACAAATATGATATAAATTTATGTGACTTAATCAATTTATAGATAAAAGGAAAAACTACCAAGCAAACATATATATACTTGCATGTTATAATAGTCTTATCCACACACACTTGTGCAGAGAACATTTATCTGAATAATAAGTATAAACCAAATGGTACTCTAAAGAGTAATCTAGAAAAACCGAAAAAATATCCTATTGAATATAGTGTACATAAAAATGAAGAATTGTACTCTTTTAAGTTATGAATAGAAAAAATCTTAAGAAAAAAAAAAATAATCCATGCTCATAGTTATGATGGCATTTTCCACCATTAATCAAAACTTCACTATTATTTCATTCTTCACATTTATAAACAACAAATCTCTCCAAAGAGCGTTTGCAAGAGCCACAAATCATTGTTTTCTCAACCAAACATTCTTCAAATGGTATTATCATCTCATAGTTATGATGGCGTATTCCACCATCACCAAAAGGAGTTTCAAAGGCACTCCTAACTGCACCACCTAGCCCATTTGCACCACATTTTTACACCAGAAAGGAAACCGATCGACAATTCTCCGATTTTTTCTCGATCAATCATTATTGCGTCGTTCGAAAACCCCCCACCAATCACGGCCCAATTTCCACCGGTCTTTAAAAGCTCGGCCACTCTCGACGAGATCTCATCCAAACGGACCGTGATGTTTTGTCGATCGACTGATCTTTTTATCGCCTCTAGTCGAAACCAAAACATTTTCATCTTACCGAGATATAGAGAATAGCATAACTTTTCTCGATAAATTGTGTCTACAATGGCTTTCACATTCTCACCAGCCAACATATATCATTTCAAGATTAATTAACTTCATTTTGGCATTAAAATCTCGAATCCAGTCTAAGTTGTCACTCCCAAAAATGCAGAGTTCTCTGCCTTCTTCCACCTAAAAAAGTATTTTCAATACAAAGTTATCGAGTTACTTATTAGTCGACTAAATCAGAACAAGAAAATGGGCCACATTTTTTTATCTGCAAACACACTACTACTTCAAAGTTGTGACTTGTGACACATTAAATGTGCCACATTTTTGTAGTTTTGGAAGAAAGCCAGTGTTGGATTGGATACACCACAAGCACATAATTACTCTATCAGCTTAACAAAATTATTACACGAACACAATATATACAAGATACAACACTTCACTTATCAAGACCAAAATACCCTAATTATTCTATTAATATACTCAAATTACGTTAGTGTCAGCCGATTCCTTTCTGTAATTATACTAAATACTGATATACATTTCGCCATTAG